CCCTTCTTTCATTACTAATGCTATCAGTTTTTGCTTTCTCTCTTTCTTTCTGAATTATTTTTGCCAGGAGTTCATGGCTTTATTAATATTTTCAATAGACCTAGTTTGGGCGTTGTCCTGTTCCCAGCTGTTATGGGCTGTTCCTGATTTATTTCTGGTCCCAGTTCTATCATTTCCTTCCTTCTAGCTACTTTGGGTTTCATGTACTCATTTTTGTTTTTTTCTAGTTTCTTGAAGGGGAAAATTAGATCATTGATTTAAATCACTTTCTTTCTAAAATAAGCATTTTGGAGTTATAAATTTCCCTCTGAACACTGCTTTAACTACATTTCATAAAATGTGATATGCAGTATTTTTATTTTCATTCAATTTGAATTATTTCTCTTTCACATTGTGATTTCTCCTTTGACATATGGGGCTTTTTCAAGTTCATCATTTAACATAAAAATATTTGGAACTTTTCTGGAGCTCTTATTCTTATTGATTTCAAATGCAATTCCATTGTTGCCATAAGACACATTCTATAATATTTCAATCTTCTGAAGTTGATTAAGTGTCATTTTATGGCCCAGCATATGAATTATCGTGATAAGCATTCCATGTATGCTTGAAAATAATGTGAAATCTGCAGAGTTGGGCAGAGTTTCCATCAATGTCAATTAAACCACTTAGACCCTATAATTTAGGTTTATAATTTAAGTGGATAAATTTATAAACATATAGATTTATAATCGTAATTCATAATTGAGATTCTCTGTCTTTACTGATTCTTTTTGCCTAGTTATTTTATAGATTCCTGACAACACAGTTTTACTAAGCCTAGTAAATTCTGTCATTTTTAGTGCAGTTATTTTGAACCTCCAGTTCTAAACCTTGTACAAAATATTAATGACTATGTCTTGTTTACGGTATGTCTTGCTGATAGACCTTCGTTAGTATGAAGTGGTTTTCTTTATATTTGATGATATGTTTTGCCTCAAAGCCTATTTATATATATTACATATTATTGCATCTATATATTATATATCTATTTAATATACATCTATGTTTATATATAGAAGTCCCTGATGGGTCAGTGGTAAAGAACCCACCTGCCAATGCAGGAGACCAGGGTTCAATCCCTGGGTTGGGAAGACCCCCTGGAGGAGGGAATGGCAACCCACTGCAGTATTCTTGTCTGGAGAATCCCATGGACAGAAGGGCCTGGTGGGCTACAGTCCATGGGGTCACAAGAGTTGGATATGACTTAATGACTAAACTACCACCACCACCATTTTTATGAAATATATATATATATATTTGCATTTTTCATCTGCATTCAGACTAGTCCTGTTTAAGTGTTCAACAGCTTCTGCCAGTGGCCACGGAGCTGGGCAGCTGAGCCCTGGAATGTCTCCGTGCTGTGTTGAAGACTAGGTTCCTGGTATAGAATTCTAGGTTGGCAGATGCTCTCAGCACCTCGGTTTAAAATTTGATTCCAGTGTCTTCTGGTGTCTGTTCCAGAAGAGGTCTCTGTAGTTACATTGCCATTTGCCTTACGTAAGATGCCAGTTTCCCCTAACTGCTTTCTAAATTTCATATTTATGTTTGGATTTCAGGAACTTAACTACAACATACCTAGAGGTCTTGGGTTTTGGTTTCTCTTCTCTTATCCTACTTGGAATTCTTTGAGGTTGTTGGATTTGTAAACTTGAAGCTTTTTAAACATTGAGGACACTTTAAACCACTATTTCTTCAAATCTACTTCTTCATTCCAGTATCTTTCTCATTGCTTTTTGGAACTCTGATTACAGATATGTTAGATTCCTTGATATCTATTTAACTCCAGGCTTTGGAAGCTCTGTTCACTTCCTTCAATTCTTCAGAATTGATCATTTGTATTGATCTATTATTTTTTCCTGTTCTATTTTTTTTTTTTTTTGGCTACACTGGTCTTCGTTGTGGCAGACGGGCTTCTCTCTGATTTCACAATGCGGGCTTAGTTCCCCTGCCATATGGGGTCTTAGTCTCCCCACCAGGGATGGAGCCCACACCCCCCGCCTGAGAAGGCAGATTCGTAACCACCAGCCCTTCAGGGAAGTCCTCTGCCGACCTGTTTCCACATTCACTGATTCCTCTGTCACTCATCCTCGCTCTTCTGTGCAGTCAATTCTGTGATTACTCCAGCTCTGCTTTTGAATATTTAGAGCCAGTAATGTCTACTCACCAGCTGTCTTCCAGAGCTCTCCAACTATTCGTTTACTAGGCATTTACCTTCCTTTACACTCTTGCACACACGTTATTAAGCACTTTCATGTATACCTATGCTCACTGCAGCATCTGGTTCACTTGAGTTGGTTGCTATTCGCTGTTTCTTTAAGTACGATTCTCTTGCTTCTTCACACGTCTGTGGGGTGCTCAGTCACCCAGTCGTGTCTGACTCTGTGACATGGGATTTTCCAGGCAAGAATACTGGAATGGGTTGCCATTTACTCTTCCAAGGGATCTTCCCAACCCAGGGATCAAACCTGTGTTTCTTGCTTTTGCATTGGCAGGCAGATTCTTTACTACTGCACCAATTACTATTAAACACAAGTCATTATGGATGAAGTAGTCTCTGGATTATTTTAAGCTTCTCTGGAGAATAATTTTTATTTCAGCAAGCAGTTAGTTTCAGGTCAGTTCAGTTCAATTGCTCAGTCATGTCTGACTCTTTGTCACCCCATGGACTGTAGCATGCCAGGCCTCCCTGTCCATCGCCAACTCCCAGAGCTTGATCAAATTCATGTCCATCAAGTCAGTGATGCCATCCAACCATCTCATCCTCTGTCGTCCCCATCTCCTCCCACCTTCAATCTTTCCCAGCATCAGGATCTTCTCCAGTGAGGCAGTTCTTTGCATCAGGTGGCCAAAGGATTGGCATTTCAGCTCAGCATCAGTCCTTCCAAGGAACACCCAGGACCGATCTCCTTTAGGATGGACTGGTTGGGTCTCCTTGCAGTCCAAGGGACTCTCAAGAGTCTTCTCCAGCAACTCAGTTCAAAAGCATCAGTTCTTCAGTGCTCAGGTTTCTTTATAGTCCAACTCTCACATCTATACATGACTACTGGAAAAACTATAGCTTTGACTAGATGGACCTTTGTTTGCAAAGTAATGTCTCTGCTTTTTAATATGCAGTTAGTTTGGCAGGGCTCAAACCCCATGCTCTGCAGTGAACAATAACTAAATTCTCTGTTTAATTCCACTGGTTTCCAGATGCCATTTTCTTATCCTGCAACACACAGCACAGCTCAGTGGTCAGCTGGCAGTTGGGTGGGCTGTATATGACAGTCTGGGGCACCTCCCTTTCATCATTTTCTAACTTTCTAGATGGTCAGCCAGCCCCAGGGTCCCTCAGTCTAGAAACTCTGCAGGTATCTGCCGTCCTAGCCACAAACTGGGGATTGGGGAGGGCCTTCAAGCAAAGAGGTATGAACTCAAAAATATTGCCACCTCTGTGGCTTGTATTTTAAGAGTGGGTCCCTCTCCAGCTTCTGCCTATTATCATTTACTCTCCATTGACATTAAAAGGGTTTTATTATTATTATATTCTGTTCAGCTTTTATAATGTTTATCCTTGGGAGAGTTAACCTGATGAGATACTCTGTCATTTCCACAGTCTTGAACTTCCATATATTGTATTTTGAGTATTTTGCCTATGATAAACCTAGGCTTCCCAGGTGGCTCAGTGGTAAAGCATCTGTCTGCCAATGCAGAAGATGCAGGTTGGATCCTTGGGTCAGGAAGATCCCCTGGAGTAGGAAATGGCACCTACTCCAGTATTCCTGCTTAGAAAAATCCCATGGACAGAGGAAGCTAGCGGGCTACAGTCCATGGCGTCACAGAGTCAGACACAACTGAGTGAGTACACACGCAGGATAAGTTTGGTAGGTTTTCGGTTCCCAGCTCTGACCTGAACTAGCATTAGATGTTTCTCTTCCTTTAATTTTCGCAGCGGGTGCTCCTACAGCACTTTGAGGAAGTCCAGTGGACCGGACTGTGTCAGGATCACCTATGGAGGTTTCCTCTCGGGCTCTGGAGGCTAGCAGAACAGTAAGGTGAAAAGTGCCACCCAAGAATCCATCTAGATGTGTCATCCCCTCCTCAGACAGGTAACCACAGCCACCTCCCACCAGCAACAAGCTCTGTAACAAGACAGTACTCAGATTGTTTCTGCTCTCAAAATCCTTTGTGAAAAAACAACTGATGAAAATCTGTTTCTATAACAAAATGTCCCTTCCTTGCTGCTTTTTTTTTTTTACCTAGATTAGAACCAGCCGCTCCTCTTGTTGTGCTATTGTAATAACAGTGTGGTAACCTGGTATCTTTACTAGAAACCTAGACTTGGGAGACAGCCCCAGAAATAGGGTTTAATTGAGACCAGTTTGGAACCAACCATCTCTCCAAAGGTCTTCCCCAGTAAAGAATCCACCTGCAATGCAGGAGATGTGGGTTGGATCCCTGTGTCAGGAAGATCCTCTGGAGAAGGGCATGACAATCCACTGCAGTGTTCTTGCCTGGAGAACCCCAGGGACAGAAGAGCCTGGCGGGCTACAGTCCATGGGGGTCACAAAGAGTCGGGCATGACTGAGCGACGGAGCATCTCCTCAAAATCTGGAATCCAGGCTCCAGGTTGCAAGAACCTCTCCTTTCTGCTAAAGTGCTGGTGGGCACACACTGTCTAGGAATGGTCACCCATCACTTTGTAGGAGTCGATCTGGAACCTTCAACTAGACCACAGCTCCCTACTGACAGGACCCCTTCTCCCCCCGTGGTCTCCACAACACTGAGGACCATGGGTGAGATCCTAAGTCCTGAGCCTGCGCTGGTTTTACAATATCCAGTACAGTGGTCCCAAAGATGACCCAACCCAGCCACCCAGATGATGTGTAAGGATGACTTGTTGGCATCACTTTGGAGGCAGAACAAGAAGTTTCAACCTCAGGTCTTGACATGACTTTAATTTCAACTTTGCCTTAAAGTTAAGTGCCTACTATGTGTCAGATCCCCTGCTGGGGGCCAAGGCATATGAGACAAAGTAAGATCCTTGGTATCAAGAAGTCCACAGTCCAGTGGGGAAGCAAGACGAAAAACAGTGAATGCAAACATATGATTGTAAATATCGGAGATGTTAGTGAAGGAAACAGTGAAGAAAGGGTAATAGGTTTGGAGGAAGTAACTTTGCAACAGTAGTATTTATCACACAGTGAAGGATGGGGACGCCTGGTGTGCTGTAGTCCATGGGGTCACAGAGTTAGACATGACTTTGCAACTGGACAACAAGAAGAAAGGCCATCTCTGAGCTCTGAGTTCATCTTGATGGAGAGTGACACTACTTCCGGCAAACTGTGTGCCCATAATTCGCAACCAACGCCAGAGGGGAACACAGGAGACTCTTTCCCTCTGTAACATGTGAGCATTGCCCCACCCAGGGCCTCTCCGGGCTGGTGAGTATTTTCCTCCCCCACCCCCTGCCCCGCTGACGCTCACGTGCACAGTCTTGGTAACCAGTCAGGAAACGAGCCCGTATCATTCAGGGCTGCGTAAACACACGGGCCAGCCAAGGTAAGGACACCATGAACCTGTGCTTCTGTTCAGCTGAACGCTCCTCATTAGCAAACTCATGAGCTCGTCTCCTCGTCTGAGCTGCGTCCACACCCAGGAACGCAGACCCCAGAGGGTGGGGGCACCGCGGGGCTCGGACGGGGCCCCGTCAGACCCTGACATTATTTTAAATTCCCTACTAATGTCTCTGGGTATAGTCCCAAATCTAGCCCTGAGGCTGGAAAAATGCATCAATCCAGTCTCTTCACACTGCGCAAAGGTCTTCATTTCCCAGCTCAATTATAACTACAAAGTATCTGAACTTGGCCTCGGTGGTCTGGTTTCCCCATTAACATCTGGATCCTTGGAATTACTCTCTTATAAGGACACCCGGCTTTAGACACCTAACTCTGGTTTCTCAACAAGCCACAGTTGAGGGTTTCTGGTTTCTACAAATCTCAGACTATATGAAAGAAGGACAGGTTGGTAGGGGCACAAAAGACACCGCTTCTGTGGGCATTAACTGATTGCAGCCTTCCCCGTCCTTCTTGAACAAAACAGAGGATATTTATTGGGAGATGCTTAAGAGAACCACTGATAAGGCGAAATCTTATCACAATAAACTAACCAGAAAAGCAACCTGCACAAACAGGTGGGCTTCAAATTACAGTAAACCACCATGGATCAATTCCCACTTTAACTCCTGGGAATAAAGACCACACGAGACATGAATGATGGACTGAAATGTGTAGAAGATCCACGTGTGACTATGTCCTCCTGGAGGCAAGTGTCCAGTCGCCCGACACGGAGCTCTGAATGGGGCCCTGACCTGATAACTCTGCACCAACAATTAGAGGAAACTATCAAGAAATGTGTCCATAAAGTGTATACGTGACAATCTCGAGGGGACATAGTACAAGTATTTGTAACCAGACAGGCTTTTAAAAAAAATAGGTAAATGACTGAAACCAACTTCATATAAGGAAGTCCTGTACTTCGAAAGCTCAACTGCAGGATTAGGGAAAACTGAGGGTACTAGTTTGTGTTTAAAAAAATAACAGTAATAATTGAGAAGCTTCTTGAATGATAGCACTTAAACATGGTCCATTAGATGACAGACCTTCCTCCACCTTGAGGCTGAGCTTTCTCTGTTTACCATCAGATCCTCAGCAACTAACACATGTTCGGCATTTAGTAAATGTGTGCTGGGGTGGGTGAATGGACAAAGCAGGATACAAAGTGGCCACAAGAAGCAGCTGGATGGTCTGTACCAATGATCTGCTCTCTGCAGCCCAGGACCGGCATGGCCCTGGGGCTGATGCTGGCCACCCCCACCGGGAGTGCTCATTCATCCAGCGCAGGTCAGAGGGTGTGCTGAGTCCGTGCTGAAAGCTCAAAGGACGCCACTGAGCCATCCAGAGGGTCTGGAATCAGTGTTGTAAGATAGATCAACATGGGTTTCTAGAGCAGTGAAAATACTCTGAATGATACCACAGTGGTGGACACATGGTGTTACCTCCTTGTCCAAACCCATAGACTGGTATGTGGGAGACCTGGGTTTGATCTCTGGGTTGGGAAGATCCCCTGGAGAAGAGAACAGCTACCCACTCCAGTATTCTGGCCTGGGGATCCCACGGACTGTATAGACCATGGGGGTCACCAAGAGTTGGACGTGAATGAGCGACTTTCACTTTCATAGACTGGACACAAAGGGAGTGCAACTGATGTAAGCTACGGGCTCTGAGTGATGACCACGTGTCCCCACGGCTCCCCTGACTGTGACAAATGGACCATCTGCTGGGGATGCTGAAAGCGGGGAGGCTGGGCTGGGGCGAGGGGTAGGTGGGAACTGCCTGTACGTTCCTTTCAGTTTTGCCAAGAACCTAAAACTGCTCTAAAAATATGATGTCTTTTTAAAAAGATTAAACTGGGGAGGAAGCCGTAAATGGCAATAGTGTGAAAAATTAAAACCAAGCACAAACCAAGGCAGGCATGGTGGCCACGTTCTCGACTTTGGAGGGCCACACCCACCAAGGAGACCAAGGGGGAAGCCCGTCTGCTGATTTTCAGTCACCAAGGAAACCCCCGGGGAGCCCGCAGCCAGCATCCCTGGACGGTGAGGGGCAGGCCCACCCAGCGAGGCCTCCAGCCTCCACACACATTCCAGCCCACTGGCATCCTCCCAAACACCCACCACCTCGTGGACAAGCCCACCCCCAGGACATTCAGGACGGTTCAGTTGTGCAATCCCCATGTTGAAGACCCTGACGGGGGCAAAAGGGGCAAACCGCGTGCCTCTCAGAGCAGAAAGCCTGCCACTCTGCCTGCATGCATCACCAGGAGCCCAGCACACGGTGTAGACAAGGTCTTCCCCAAGGCGCCCTGGGGGGAAGAAAGTCACACAGGGCGGCTGGCCGGGCACAGCTGGTTGTCACTGCTCACAGGAGAAATGTCCAAGCCCAGGGGCTGCCTTGGATGAACGGGCTTGCAGGCATCGGCACCACGGGCATCAGGGAGCTAAGGGTGCCCAGCAGATGCGCTGGGGATGAGAATTCGTCCTCCTGAGTCAGGGCGAGTGTTACCAGGCTGCCTTTCCTGGGAGGGCTGCGATGTAGCTGCTTCACCAGGTGCTTCCCAAACGCATGTGACCTCAGATCCTTTGTCCCCCGCGGAGCAACCCCCGCTCCCCGGGAAGGCCCTCAGCACGCACACTGCAAACGGGGTGCCCCCTTCCTGCCAGGAAACTGCGGTGTGCACATGAACAGACAGGTCAAGATGGCACTTGGTGGGGACGGTAGCCACCTTGACCCAGAACCAACAGGACACACACAGGTCCCCACCCCGGGGGTTCCTGTAGGCGCAGTTCAAACAGCACCCTGCTCCCTACAGAGGTCTCAGATGCAACCCTGAGGAAGACTCGAGGCTGAGTGTGAAGCGGGGCAGGGACTCCTGTTACGCGACAGATCACGGTCCTCACCAGAAGCTGGTGCTCAGCAAGGTGGGGTGGTGGGCGCGCCTCTGTCCACTGGCATCGAGCTAGATCGATACAAAAAATCAGGCAGATGGCCATACCTGCCGCCCAGAGCTTCACTTGAGGGACTGAAATGGTTTTTATGAGCATGAATTTAAATTACCAGACTCATAAGACAGTCTTCCTCAGACGTTTACCAAAACATTACAATTTTTGGTATTCATGCAATATTAGGAGGTACTATTAGTCCCCGCTAATAAGGTTATGCTCACAATCTTCCAAGCTAGGCCTTAGCATTATGTGAACCGAGAACCTTCAGACATTCAAGCTGGGTTTAGAAAAGACAGAGGACCCAGAGATCAAATTGCCAACACTTGCGGGATCAGAGAGAAAGCAAGGGAATTCCAGAAAATATCCACCTCTGTTTCATTGAATACGCTAAAATCTTTGACTGTGTGGATCATAACAAACTGTGGAAAACTCTTAAAGAGATGGGAATACCAGACCATTTTGCCTGCCTCCTAAGAGACCTGTATGCAGGTCAATAAACAACACTTAGAACCCTGTATGGAACAACTGAATGGTTTAGGATTGAGAAGGGAGTATGATAAGGCTGTTCACTGTCCCCCTGTTTATTTAACTTATATGAAAAGCACATCATGAGAAATGCTGGGCTGGATGAGTTACAAGATGGAATCAAGATTGCCAGGAGAAATATCAACAACCTCAGATATGCAGATGATGCCACTCTAACGGCAGAAAGCAAAGAGGAACTAAAGGGACTCTTCATGAGAGTGAAGGAGGAGAGTGAAAATGTCAGCATTCAAAAAACCAAAATCTTGGCATCTGGTCCCACTGCTTCATGGCAAATAGAAGGGAAAAAGGTGGAAACAATGACAGATTTTCTCTTCTTGGGCTCTCAAATCACTGCAGATGGTGACTGCAGCCATGAAATTAGAAGACGATTGCTTCTTGGCAGGAAAGCTAAGACAAACCTAGACAGTGTGTTAAAAAGCAAAGACATCACTTTGCTGACAAAGGTCCATATAGTCAAAGCTATGGTCTTTCCATTAGTCATGTACAGATGTGAGAGCTGGTTAATAAAGCAGGCTCAGTGCTGAAGAACAGATGCTTTCCAATTATGGTTTTGGAGAAGACTCTTGAGAGTCCCTTGGACTGCAAGGAGATCCAACTAGTCCATCCTAAGGGAAATCAGTCCTGGGTGTTCATTGGAAGGACTGATGTTGAAGCTGAAACTTTGGCCACCAGATGTGAAGAACTGACTGATTAGAAAAGACCCCGATGCTGGGAAAGATTGAAGGTGGGAGGAGAAGGGGATGACAGAGGATGCGGTGGTTGGATGGCATCACCGGCTCCATGGACATGAGTTTGAGTAAATTCCGGGAGTTGGTGATGGACAGGGAGGCCTGGTGTGCTGCAGTCCATGGCGTCGCGAAGAATCAGACATGACTGAGTGACTGAATAACAACAAGAAGTTTGTCCCAGGTGTCAGCAGCCACGTGGCACCAGCTTCCGGGGACGCTCGGCAGGGTTTGAGTGAGTTGCCTCTCGATCATTTCCTTTGGTTCCACACGACACTTCTGGCTTCACAGTGATGATAATCACAGGCCTTTGACAACTATTCTCTAAATGTCCCACTGCTATTTCCTCTCTGTCACAGATCTTTTTTTCAGCAGACGTTGATCGAGTTCTGTTCTGTGTGCCGAGGAGAAAACTGAACAATTAACCCTGCCCTCCTGAGGCATACTTCCAAGAGGGATTATACCCTGACCACAGACCTCGTACATTATTTTTAGCAGAATTTTCTCTCTCCTTCAAAAGTAGAAAAGGACAGTAAGCGAAATACCAGGGAAATACACTCCCAATCTCAGGCCAGCGAAGACATTCCCTGGAATTCCAGATTCTAGAATTTCGCAAGGAATTCCCAGGATCAATAGGCCATGGCAGGAAGGGAAGGCCACGGTTTCGGTTCTCTCCACAGCTTTAGGAACTGGAGCAAGATCTGCCACAGTCTTATCTCTTTTCATGAAACTCAAGAGGTACGTGGTTTTAGGAAAAGTTGTAAGACAGTTTTCGTGTCTTTGTGTATGTCACAGCCTAGTGGATAAACAGTGACCAGGGACAATCTTCGGCACTTTATAGTTTCACTTCACCTGTGAGTCCCAGGTCACCCTATGGGATCAGGGTGGGTGGTCGGAGTTTTCCATCCCAGCCCTCAGCCCCAGAGGGTGGGGCATCTGGGCCTCGTCCCTGGGAGTCTCGCAGCTCAACCCCCGGAGCAGCGTGTTTTTCTGAGGGTCACTACGAGAAACTGCTTTATGAAAACTGTCACTCTGAATCCTTCACCGAGAAGTAGGGGTATAAATAATTAAGAAATTTCCGCTGCATTTGTGGTTGAGGACGCTGGGCACAAACCCTCAGGGCCTGATGTAAAAAGCCCAAGGTGAATATTTTTTGCATTCAGTTCTCGGAAAAGGCTTGCTCCTTCCCAAGAACGACAATGTCTCTTCCCTTCTGAGGAAGACAATGCTGATTCTCGCCCTGTCTGTCTTCATATTCAGTGACCTCACCAGAGCAAAAGAAGAGGGAGAAGAAAGGAAAGCAAGGCCAGAGAGAGGGAGCAGGACAGGCTGAGCTGGCAGGGGGCAGGGGACAGCTCCCGGAGCGCAGACGGTCCTAGGGCCTTGGACTGTGTTGTAAACACCATGGAAAGGCCCAGTCTTTTATGAAGAAGAAACGTGAGCTCACGGCACAGGAAACTCTACTCAATACTCTCTGATAAAAGAATCTAAAAAAGGATGAATATACATATATGTATAGCTGAGTCACTTTGCTGTACAGAAGAAACTAACAACGTTGTAAATCAACTACACTCCAATAAAAATTTTAAAATAAATTAGAGAAAGAAACAGGGCCTTCAGCGGCCTCTCGGGAACGCCTCACCCCAGGGCCACCCGCCCCGCCCACCTGGGGACCGTCTCGCTGCAGCCACGGCCCTCCAAGGAGCCCGGGGCACAGAGGTGAAGAGGAAGCCCCCGCCGGGAGGGGGAGCCGGGCACCACCTGAAGCAAATGGGGTTTCTGGTCCCGGTCACCTACACCGCCAGGTCAGAGGCCCCGTGGCCACGCCCACATTCCAGTCACACCCACGAGAAATTAACCTGAAATGCAACCATGACAACTGCTGGGATCCTCCTGCCCACCCATGACGGAGTTCACAGACCTTCCATGGACCAAATCTGCCCATGAGCTGCATCTCCCAGGACAGGGAGGCCAGCGGCCGTGAGGACAACTTGTTAGCAGAACAGACGCAGGATGCAGGATGGCGTCCACACCATGTCCTCAGGAGCGCTGGGTCCAGGGGACCAGAGATGAGAGGTGGGTTCTCAGGTTCTGGAGGCAATGGGGGTAAAGGGCTGGGGGTCCAGGCCTCACCCCAACTCTCCAAGACGGGGTGGTCTTATCTGTTTTCTCATGGAAGCCCTGAGTGAGATTTAATGTGAAAACGGGATTCTACTGTCTCCAAATACTGAGATGGCAGAACGAGGTGACCCCAGGGGACACAAGATCCAGTGATCTGTCACCTGTCTCTCAGCCTGCCTGCCTTCCTCTCCGCTCGGGTCATGACCCCCAGTGACCCTGTCTGTGGGCTCACTGACACTCTCCCATCTTTATCGTGACACAGCGACCCGTTCCCTCCGTACGAGACTCTCCTCACCCGCACTGAGCCCTCGACTGCCTTCTCCACCCTGAGCTGCTCTGAAGCAAGCCCTGCCCTCCTCAGCACCCCAGGCAGCAGCCAATGGACAGCCCCGCTGGGCGTCCACTGCCACAGACACTCGGCGTGACCACGGCTGGACTCCGGACGCGTCCCAGAGCCTGGTTTCCTCCTGTTTCCCTGTCTCCTGAGGTCACGTGTAAGACTCCTGGTGCTGAAAGTCCTCCGTGTTGTGGGTTCAGAGGCATTCTGTGTGCACACATGTGTGTGTACACACGCATGCCTGCTTTTGTTTGTGTGTGTGTGTGTGTGTGTGTGTGTGTATACTCAGACACGTTCAACTCTTTGCTACCCGATGGACTGTAGCCTACCAGGCTCCTCTGTCCATGGGCTTCCCAGGCAAGAATACTGGAGTGGGTTGCTGTTTCCTCCTCCAGGGGATCTTCCCCACCCAGGGATTGAACCTGCATCTCCTGCATTGGAGGCGCTGGAGCCACCTATGTACAAATACATCTGCATAAAACCTGCATCCTCAACCGAGGCTGGGGCTCCAGAGCATATAAGTGATGGACACCCGCCTCCTCAGCTCCCCTCTCCACCGTCATAATCCCTCCCTGAAGCCACTGCCCGGGTCAGCAAGTGACCGACTTACACACCATTTTTCAGGACCTATAAAGCAGCCACTTAGTGAGGAACTAATGTGAGGGTGACTCTGAATTAAGGAGGAAACATACCAAGGAACACATGTGAATTCTACAGAACTCTCCTGGAAGTAAAGGCTAAAACCATATGGTTTCAATTCTTAATTGTGGAAAAGTGTCAAAATCCTAGGAAGGTAGACAATTAAAATGCAGTGGGCAGAGCCTTTTGGTAAATTCCATTTTCTCTTTACTGTGGAGATGCCCACTCATCCAGCCCAGCCAGCTCTTTCCATGATTTAAATCAATTCTGCCTCGTTAAACTGGAATAATTCTCCAATTCCTGTGAGATGGCAGCTTCAAGGCTCACAGGTTTATTCCAGGTGTGGTGGTGTTGTGTGATAGCAAACTGTGTGAAAGAGGAGAGTAGGAAGGAGAAAGAGAAGAATCTGACATCGTAATCACAGTGACACTGCACCAGCAAGAGATCATAAGACAGACACCCAAGCTCAGGGCACTCCTGGTCAAGTAGCACCCACGAGACGCCGTAGCTGCCCAAATCAAGGATAAAGACTGTTTTCTAAGCATTATTATAGCTGGGCTTCCCTGATGGCCCAGTGGCAAAGAATCTACCTGCAATGCAGAATATGC